GAAGCACTGAAAAAGCCATTTCCGCATGCACTTACCCAACTCCGCATCCCTGAGTGCTTTTAGGCCTTTAGAATTTCCCCTGGGAAATGCTTCCTGTTGCCACATGCGCCTGCCATGGCCAAATTGGGGGTTGCCTAGCAATTGCCCAGGGAGCAAGGGCTGTGGTTAAAGGGGATGCACCAACTGGCTCCAGATGTATCTTAGACATGTAATTTCTTTCTCATTTTCTCCTACTCAGTTGGAGTCTGGAGAAACAGTTGAAGCTGCAGCTTAGGGTTTCAAGGGGGTCTTGTATATAAGGAAGGGTGCTGGTAAAACGCGTGGGAACTTGCACATAGAAGTAACAGCGCACGGCTGGCACTAGAGGGAACTCTGGTCAGCAGATGCACAAAGGCATCCACTGTTTTGCTCCCTGGGTTTTGTCATGTCCTCCAGTGTGCACTGCAAACCACGCCGCCGTTTCTTTGTGTCTCGGTGATTAATTTTAATGTAGCAAGTGCGACATTGATGGACTAAATGCAAAGTTCTTGTGGGAGAAATGCAGCTTCTTTCTGTTGCCTGCGTTATCCGAGCATATGGGCCTATAAGTAGCTGGCCTGTTGGGCTGCAGCTGCATATGGAGCAGTGATAAGTGCATATATAATTTATCAGAAACCTAAAATCAGAGTAGGGTGGCAAACAGATTGTTCTAGTTACAGCTGCAGCTGGCAAGTGGATAATATCCCCTCCGTAGTGAAAAAGCTGTGTTAGAGTCCTCGCTTGCATCCTCTATCTCATTCCCTAAAGTTATCCTGCTGATGGGGAAGGATCACAGTTGGAAATTTGGCAAATGCAAGCTGTTCTGCACAAGGAAAACATTTTCCCCATGCCCAGGAGGAGCTATCTTATGGTATTTCCTTAGGGAATGGCAAATAAAAGATATTAACCATTGACATTTGTGTTTTGAATATTAGTGTAACAAACAAAACTCTACAGGAGCAGTTGGTGGATACTTTTTTCTGCTTTGAAAACACTGTGTTAACACTGCAAAACTCAAGACTTGATGTTTCAGTGTGAATATGTTGAGAACTAAGTTCTTACAGTAGTTACTAAGCACAATTATTTCCAGCTTTGACAGAAGTTGTATGTATGTGACAAGAAGCTAGCCTTTAATAGTTATAAATTGTTACAGATTATAGTTACTGGATATGAATTTCAAATTAACTCTGGAAGACACAGATTTTCATTAGAGTTCTGAGAGTCTTACAGAGTTAAGAAAATAAAGTGCAAACAGTAAATCTTTGAGCAGGACTGGGTAAATCCTTAATACAGAAAATATTTAATTCACTACTACATTTTTGAAGCGGTATGTAACGGGCCTTTGGCAAAGCATTGCACCACGCTTGGGCAGTAAATTAGAGAGGAAACACATTACCGGCTAGGAGATACAAAAGCAACGGTGGGTGGAGATGGTACAACTTCCAGAATTCAAATTTGGAAGGAATTAAACTGGTAACTGCAATTTTCTTTGGAAAACTCTCCGTTGTTATTTAGTGATAGCAGGACTTGGGACTTGTCTCCTCGTTGGCAAGAGGTCAACAAAAATAATTGAAAGTGGCCGTGTTCAGCTTAAAAATGAAGAAACTTAAATCCCATGATTTTGATATCATTGGTATTTGAATGAGCGGGCTTTGCAGTGGCGTCTAAAAAAAAGATAGCAGCATCTTTTTATCTCCTTGCAAGCAGTTTGGCTAAATGTGCATCCTCCTCATTCTATTTACAAGTAGAACGTGAAGGGTCGTCATGAGAAAAGTTTGATTCAGGTTTTATTAGTTCCTCAAACTACAAACCAGCTGGGAAAAGATTTATGTTAAGTGTCAGCATGATTCTTAACCAGGAAAGAAGTTGATTGTGATGAAAAAAATAAGACACAAAGATAGCTGATGAAAAAGTTCTATCTTTTTCTACAGAGAGACTGGTTTACTTTCTCATGTGTAGTGGGTCAGGACTGGATGTTGCTGGTCCTCAGGGATATGTTGATCCAGTCTAAGGATATTTGGAGTGTCATGGCTATACACAGAAAAGTGTGTGTTGTAAACTGTGTGGGCAGTGAAAAAGCACTAGTTTCCTGCTGCACAAGTTTTGAAAAAGAATGAGCATCTTTAAATAAAGGCTGCAATTAACTGAAAGTGCAGTGGAGGGACTTAAAAGAGATATCAGTGGGCTTTCAGTCAGGCTCAAATGGTGCAAAGAATACCTCAAGAAACATGATGTGTAAAATTAGCAGAAACTTAGAAAAATGCACAATATTAGCTGTCACAAATCACAACAGAGGTGGCTGCAGGGCTGGCACGGTGCAGTACAGTGAAGAGCAGCGATGCTCAGCTACAGCTGAACCTCAGCCTCAGTAGTTTGTACTGGTTGCCCTCAGAGCACTCGTGTGTTTCGTGGAAGCTGAAGTTTTTTAAGGGACAATGAAAACAAAACTCTTCCTGCTAATGCAAACAAAGCAAAAATGTTGATTTGGGTTTTCACAGATTTACCACTTCTGCTATGAGGAGGCATCTGCGTAAGCTAGCTGTTAGGTGCAGACCCTGATGCCTAGAAAGCCCTCCTGAAGCTTTTAATCTCATACAAATCCTCAAATAGCAATAAGATCTTTAGCAAATTTGGGATAATGCAATTAACGTGGCGTAAAAATTGTCGATGTTGTGCTGACAATATTTGGAAGTCTTCCATGGCACAGCGTGGTAAAGCAGCTAGAAGTTGAAGTTGACTTGCAGGGTGAAGGATTTTTGCAGACGCAGTTTCACAGATTGCAGCTTTGTGAAGAGAGTTTGTTAGGGCAGGTTGACACCCTGCAGTGAGGCTGCACTGCCAAAGGGAGAAGGGTAGGAATCCTGGGAAACACGTGGAGCTAAGCAGGAAGAGGCTTTCCTTTCCTTAGAGAGCTGGCAGAAAGCTCTAGGCCTGCACCTTTTGTTCTTGACACAGCCCACAGATCACATTTAAGGGTGTGTTTTACTCCTCTAACTCCATAACTCATCACTGTCTGAAAAATAAAAGGAAGGTTAAAATAAACCAAGTGAGACTGAGTTGCTCAGCCTGACAGTCGACCCTCTCCAAGGGTGATTTCATGCAGATAATTTCTTATTTAGTCTCGGAGTACCTTCCTCTTTCTTTCTGCAAGTCTTAGCATTTCCTTAAAACCCCCCACATACGTTGTAAAAATAACATTTCTTAAAAATAATCCTTGCCTGGGGGTGGGGACAGAGGGAGTTGTCTTATCTCACTTGCTTAGGCAGACTGAGTTTTGAGAAGTAATTTAATTTCAATTCACACGCATGCTAAGCTTAATCTTAGACGGTAAGTCTGGAGCCTGGAAGTCCACTTATAGCTGAAATTTAAAAAGTTGAGCACATAGAATATATTCACACCTAATACAAGGCATTTTATGAAAAGGAGCTATTATATTGTAGTGTGCTGAATTTGCTGCTCCATAGAAAAAATAGAATATTTAATATTTTTTGAATTACTGCATATGGAAAATTGCTCAATGGAAAGGCACTTCTCCAGGCTTTCTTAGAAACTGAGTAGTACTAAGGCCCACAAAGAAAGGGCCTTCTCCTCCCACTGACATTGTAGAACAACCCTTTTGTGTCAGCTGGAAAGTGAGAGTGTTTCTTCAAATTTGAAGTAGTGCCCCAATGGCACGGACTCATTCTGTGGGATTGGTCCTTGATTTTTCCTTGGAAGGTGATCTCAGCTTCATAGATAGCAACAGTACTTTTTTCATTCAACTATCTCCAGTCCACAGTGCCAACAAAAATCTCCTTCAGTCTCGCAGCAGACTATGGCAGGAGCTTCCCAGGGAGGTCCCTGGGGAAGGACTCTCAGTTGCCCGATAGATGTTTTCCACCCCCAGTGCACGGTCTCTGCAAGAGCAAGAAGGGTATTTGGAGGCAGTGGCGTGCACATTAAATCAGGGCACACCTGCAGTTTTCCCTGGGGAATGAGCTGTGGTGGGGTTGTGGTAAGGAGCACAGCAAGTGGCTATTTATTCCCAAAAGCTGTTGTCGTTGATGATGTAGAGACAGTTTGCTTACCACACGTGGCAAGCAGAGCACGGGTGTGAAATGCGTACTCACTGTGCTCCACAAGCAATTCACAACTTCACAGTGCCATATTTGAGCCAAGCGCAATGATACCCAAACCCATATCTCCAGTTCCTGCTGTCCGAGCCCATGCTGCTGTCTGCTGGTCAAGCTGGCAACACCTCGCTCAGCAGAGTGCTTGGGTTCACCATCCTCTGGCCTTTGGCTCAGGCCATAGCCCACAAAAATCAGGAGATATGCCTGGTTTGGATAAGCTCCAGGGCTGGCCCTAAATCTTTTCTAGACAGTCCTTGCTCTGATTATTGCATGCTGTAAACACTGAGTGTATTCCTTGCTCTAAGTGTGTATTCAGAAACAACTCTTTATTTTTAATCATAGGATTTTATTAGGTATGAAAGCACAGGTACAACATTTATTGCTATGAATAACGCTGAATCACTTCCGTATGGATATATAATAACAAAAATACACTCCTTTACTATCAAAAATATTCCCCTTTGCTAACAGCCAGCTACCATTCATTAAAGAGATCTCTCTTCCTTTAAAAAATGAGATTAGGTTGTACATTTGTACACACACGTGGAAGTTTTGATAATGAAACTGTTTGTTTAACAGTTTCCTTGTCCTTAAATTCTTCTCCATCTCCTGTTCTAGGCATGGAGCGCTGCTTTTGCTTCTACTTTCCCTTTTCCTCTCTCTTCACTCAGTGCCATGTTCATCCTTGGCATTGTCATTCTGCTTTTGGGTTTAAAATCGTTACTGGTTTAGAATATTTAATGCTCCTAAGAGTCATGTCAGTAACTCAGTGCAGCCATTAAGTCTCTTCATGCGGGTAATGGCAATCTCTTAGCAGTGGCCAGCTCTGCAGAAGACATATTTACATAAATTTCTCCTTCATGGAGCTTTTTAGACAAAGACAGAGGCATCCTGGTCACTGGTATTCAGGGTTATGTTGCTGTTCACAATGCTTTCTGCATAGCTGCTTGAGTAGGTGACCTGGTAGCGACTGCATGGGCCACAGAAACACAGGAACGGACAGTACTTGAAGCAGACACGATGAAGGTATTTCCTGAATTTTTCCCCAGCAAAAGCATAGATAAGAGGATTGAGACAACAGTGGCTGAATGCAATGGTTTCGGTCAGGTGCATGGCATAGTCCAATGCTTTAATTTGGTCACAACTTGTGAATAGCTCATAGTGCTTTAAAGTCTCTAGAAAAATCAGTGCATTGTAGGGGGACCAAAAGAGAAGAAACATGACCACCACAACCAAGATCAGTTTTATGGCTCGTGCTTTTTTCTGATTTTTGCAGGACAGCAGGGTTTTGATAATGCCACAGTAGCAATAGCATATGATACAGACCGGGATGAAAAAGCCGATGATGTTCAGCTCCATATTGCAGAACACTGGCCAGATGTTCTCCAGCTCCCGGGGGAAGACAGAAGCGCAATCATTTTCTATCAGCTGGGAAAAGACAAAATGTGGCACTGAAACTAAAAGCGCTATCGCCCATACTCCGCAGATTATAAGACAGCCATGTTTCACTGTTCTGGATTTCAGAGAATATGTTGCCCGGACAATGGCCAAGTATCTGTCGATACTGATAACAGTGATGAAGAACATGCCCCCAAAGAAACCGATGTAATACAGTGAGGAAAGAACTGTGCATGGAATGGTCCCAAGAGTCCATCCACGCACCGTGTTGGAAGCCCAGAAAGGGAGGGAGATCACAAAGAGAAGGTCTGAGATAGCCAAGTTCAGGAGATAGATGTCAGTGATGCTTTTTCTACTGCCTTCTTTCACAATGGCAAAAACCACCATGAGATTCCCCGTGAGGCCAAGAGCAAACACGACAATGTAAAATATTGGCAGAAATATTTTACTGAATTCTTGGATGTCAGTCTTATTGCAGGAAAAAGCATGTTCATCATAGGTGTATTCAGCTGTTGTTTCTCTGAATGCTTCCGTCATGTTGAATCTTCTGGCTAGAGGCAACATGAAAAGGGAAAAGAGAAAAATGTTAGGGAGAGAGATCCAGTATCTGTTGTGGTGGAATACTGAGAGACCTCAGCAACATGCACGCTTTGGGATTTTGTCACTATGTAGGTTTATGAGAGTTGTGTCACTGCGAAGGCAATAGTAGTTACTTATAAAAGCCCAGACTCTGCTGTTACATGTACTTAGCTTTTCAGGATAATAAAAAATAAATGAGAATTTCAAGTGCTGTCAAATAAGTCCCTGCTTACTAGTAGAGCAGCAAAAACCCAACATCCGACTGAGCTCTGCAGGTGGTGCATCACAGCGTGAGAAATGCTCTGCCAGCATGCTGGGCAGCGCCCAGCAGGAAATGATACCTCGCCTGTCGCTGTTGATCACCACCAAGAGCGCAGTCTTGCCCCACTCATCAATCCTGGGGTAGAAGTGTGGTGAGACGCCCAGTTTGGCCAGCGCTGAGCTGATGCTCGCTGATATGGGAGGTGCAGATTTGGCACTAGGACATTGCTCGGGAGCAAGCATATCTTTGGTGAGGTTTTCCAAAAATTCATCTTTTGATCAGAAGAGAAACGATATTGACCCTTTTCCTCAAGCACCAAAGGGTCCCTTGACTGCTCCTTGGCTGTGAGATAGTCAGGTTGGAGCCAGAGCTTGTTAGCTTGGAAGCTGCACCCAAAGAGAGGATAGAGTGTGACCTCTGGGCTCACTGGTCTGCACACCCAAAATCTCAGGGCACTTGTGAGTGCCTCGGTGCTCTCTTGGGATGTGGTGCTCAGGTCTCTGCAAAGATTTCTGTTTGCAGGGGACAAAAATTCCTAGCAGGGTGCAGATGTTGCTGCAATCACTCTGCTCCCAAGTTGGGTTAAAGAGCTTGTTAAGTATCCATTACTTACTCTCACAGTAGGAAATAGAGTATGATACACTCTGCAGACATCCAGGGAGATGACAACATGGCCAAACCAGCCTGTGCAAGCAGAGACTGAAAGGAAAGGTCAGGGATAACAAAACTGCAACTAATAACTACCCCTTGGTGACAGCATCACATTCCTCTTACAGGAACCCCCATGACAGTAAAAAAGGGACTCAGTTCAGCAACTGTACCCCATCTCTAACATAGATGTTTATGTCTCCTGTTAGTTGGGAGATGGAATCTGTACAGCCCATGAAGAGCAGTGCATCTGATGCAACACAGGGCAGGCTAAATCTGCTTTAAGACAAGATCGACCACTTTCCAGACTCTGCTGACCACGCTGATGAAACTCCTTTTGACGATAAGGAGAGCACGGGCATGTTACTCAATGGTAGGTGCCGATGGTATACAACTGCTCTCACTCCTGACACTTGGAGTGAAATGGTTCGAATCCCCACCTCCAGGTCCACACTTCATTGACAGCAATAGTTTTTATAGCCTCTGTTTCAAAGAAGCCTTGCAAGACTACACATAAATTAAAGATGTCCTGAGGTGTGAGACAGTCCTTACCCAAGAAGTTTCATATAACATAGTGCTAACTGCAACAAACTTCCCCATGGGTGGTTGCTGTGACCATATCAACATTTTCTCCAAATGCCTCATTTCCAAAGCAACCATTTGTGGTGTGGGCCATAAGTTCTGGGCCTCGTATTTCGTAGTCATTTCTCAAAGAGGCTTTTTTCTTTTTTCTTTTTTTTGTTCTAGTCGGAAATGCCAGCTCTCCATTTTAAAGTATATGATTTTTCTGAAAGTTCAAAGCTTAGTTGTCACCAAAACATATTTAAATGAGAAGTGCCCACAGTCATTAGAAAACAACCTTTGTTGTTTTGCACCGGAGGAGTCGAGTAGAAGGGCTGTCTCAGCACTGGTAGTTTCAGATCATGGGCACGGGGAAGGCTGTTTGCAGCAGGCAGGCACACCCAGGGGCTGAGCAGCTCTTGCAATCCCTTTCCACCTCAACTGTGTGCCGAGCCTGCCTTGCAGAGCCTGTCCAGCCCCTTGCTTGCAGCCCAGCTTAATCCTCCAGCTTCTGGAGATGTGGTGTCTGACACCAGTGGAATTACAGGGGACGAACAGGAAATGCCTAGTTGCTGGGAGAAAAGCTCAAAGAAATTGCAAGCAAGACACTGATTTTCTACTGGTGAGATAATTAATTAGTTGCCTACAGAGATCTGTGACAGGTTCCTCATCTTTTCACGTGTCTGCCCCATCATTACTTGTCTACCCTGCTGAGGGTTACAGAAATGAGCAGGACACATTGTGTACAATCCCAACAGCCCATCCCGGTGTTTGCTGAGCACAGGAAATAGTAGATTCACTTCTGCTTCTCATGGAACTGCTCAACTGCTTTGCTCTCTCCCCAGATTTCCCCAGCAGTTTTACACCCTACTCCCCACAGGCACTTCTGCTTTTAATCACGTTTATAGCTGTCTCAGACAATAGTCTGCAGGACCAAAACCCCTGTTTCTCAACCCAACTATTTCCAACAACCATGTGTGCTATATGTAGTACTTAGGGAAGTGAAATCCACAAACTCCTCTAAGCAGCAGAAGTTGCATTTCACCCTTCAAACAGCAAACCATCAAGCCGGGTGACACAAGACCCAAATTGTGTTTGTACATCTGATCTTCCCACTTATCACTTCTGGCACTTCAGCCAAGTGCCACGTTACAAGATTTGCTGCCATGAAGAAGGGTCAGTGAGCGCTTCGCCTCTGCCATCACTGAATGAAAAGACGCAACCACTGAATGGAAGAAGCAACCAAGCCCAGACCTCTGCCAGAGGGTCATGCTTCGGATTTGCACAATATGCTGATCAAAGTGTTTTAAGCCTTAGCAAGATATTCACACCTTAGTCATCATTTCTGGGTGAGGCTGACTTAGATGGTTTTTTCACACATGTATGTCTTCAGCGCAGGCTGAAAGGGCCAGTGCTGCACACCAACGTTTCAGTGTGCCCAGGGAAGCTGTTGGCTTTGTGGGAACCCTGTGAAACCCTAAAGGCACATATGCTGTTCTTACCCTCAGATGTAAGCTGCCACCACCTTACCCAAATATAAATAACTCTTGCTTTTGAGCATTTGCTACCACACCCATTTGCTTCTTGCCACCTGGTGATTCTTGGCAAGACCATAGAGATGCCCTCGGGTACCTCCAAATGAAATATCATAGCTGGTGGCACTTCTAACACACACACACGCACGCACACACGCACGCACACATGCGCACGTGCGCGCGCGCGCACACACACACACACAGAGGAATTAAGCAGAACTAGGCAGAAATTAGCAGGAAAGATGCGAGTCTTAATAGTGCCCTGTGTAAAACTTAACCAGCCTGGCGCCAAGCACCTACCATGCAATCACCAGACTGCCATGGACAGCTCTAACCATAGTTTGGCTGATACCCAAACAAAAACTTAAAACTTACAGGCAGTACACTAACCAGAGATGGGGCCCAGTTTCTAGTCCTACACCCAGCTGGTTCCTGTAACTAGCTTAGCTTCTCTTACAGAGCAAGGCAGCTCCATTTTTAGTGGACAGTCTCTGGAGTTGCTTGTGATCATGTTAGATAGCCAGGATCAAAAGCAGGCCCAGCCCAGCAGATGCAGTTACTTCAAATCTTCAATCTCGGTCCTTTGTTTAGTTCTGAAGTGGGGAGACGTCTCCCCATTCCACCTCTAAAGGTGCTGGAAGCAGCTGACACAATGCCAACCTTCAAAAGTAGGAATGGCTAGCATAACCTAACCTTTAAACTGGGCAAAATAAAATTTAACCAGTAAAAAGGGAGAATGCAGCTCATGCCAGTCTGCATGGCTTTATAGAAGACACACTTTAGTTTGGACACCTGATGAGGTTGCAAGGTTGATAGAGGATACTGTGCAGGACAGCTGGAGCTCTGCCTTGTGCTGCTGCTTATTTGATTGACCCGTCTCTCCAGCCCAAAGCAACACAAGCTCAACTATCCACAACAAGGCGATTTGGGCTGGTTGGCCGTCAGATCTCAAAAGCCAGCCATCTGAGGGGGAAGCCTCACTGAACTAGAAATATCATGTGTAAAAGGTCCATGGGAACAACGAGTTGAAAACCAAAAACTCCAATACTTTCATCACTGGTCTGAAAGCAGACTGGGAATCAGAGCTGGCAGGGGGAAGTGATACAAGAGTTAGAGATCTAGACAGTGATTCAGACAGATCTGAGTAATCTGGGGCTTCTCATATGATTCATGTTGGCTTTAATATACCCAAAGTGGCATGCTTGGCAGTTAAACAACGCAGACTGTGCCTCGAGCGTGGGGACATATCTGCTAGGAAACCTGACTGCCCACTCGGGCACACTCAGCTACCAGCCAGCTGACATGAGCCTCTAGTGTTCAAAGAGGTGGGAATAAAAGGGAAGAGGGAAGAATTTTCCGTTGTAGAGCTTGATACTAGGGCTGTAGGCATACTTTGATAACGCTTGATTTCACTCTCACTTTTGTTAATATCTTGCTAATTTAGTGGACCTATCCATATGATAAACCTGTGCATGAAAATTCAAACCATAAGCAAGCAAGCTAGAGATCAGATAGGCATTTTTAACAGCGAAAGGCTAATGACTGGAAGAGACTTAAAGCAGGAAAAGGAGGTTTTTGCACATCTAAGGGTGTCCACATCAAGAGAAGAGATCAGTCTGGGAAACAGGCTTAGGCCAGATACAGTGGGGAAACTCGGCGGGTGCAGACTGGGTAAAACCCTGCAGCCCCTGATAGGCATGAAGGCGGAGCAAATGGACTGCTGGGCCACACTCGTCTTAACAACAACGATTCTGTTTTGGTAATAAATGATTGAAAAAGCTAAACCATCCCCCCAGGTATTTTGCCAGCACCAGCCGGCCCAGCTCCTTGCAAGAGGCCCCCTGGAAGGAAGTCCCAAGATTTCGAGGATAATGTTTTTAAACCAGGTAGTGATCTGTGCTGCTTTATTACTGGATTTTTCAACTTAAGGTGGAGTTCAAGGTGAAGAAGCA